AAATAACAGTACAGACCTGTGCCCCCAACTATGTTTGGACGATAAACATTTGTATCAGGTCAACTAAACATGGGCATAGTAACAATATTTATTATTCTACATTTATACATTTTAGGTAACAACTAAGGCAAAAATGTAATTAATTTAGAAAATCTTTTCAGGACCCCACCTTGATGTTTCAGGACCCCACTTTGGGTCCCGACCCCAACTTTGGGAACCACTATAGAACAGTCAATAAATGCTAAAATTTAAGAAAACAGTAGGCCTAACTGAACACCTGAAAACATTGAGCCTGTTTAGATAAATTGACCAAAATTATAGCTAAAAACTAAAAAAAGTAATAGACTTCAAAGAGCACATGATTAAAGTTTTAAAGATTTGAAGAGTTCAGTGCATTGAAATGAGAAAACAATATGTAATAAAGTTAAATATTTGAAAATGTTGAAAAGTTAAAACTAAAGGAAAAGCTAAAGGATGTCTGATTGGCTGAAATGTGTTAATCCAAAAAGAAAAAGTATGGAACAGCGCAAATGCTGACTCAGCAGTTAAGATCTTTTTTTTCCCTGTCTCATCGAGGCTAAATCCACCTGGCTTTAACCTGTTTGATTTTCATCCCGTCAGACACAAAAGGTGCCGCGGAGTCGCGCAGATCAAAGTCTGTATGAATATTTCAGAGGCTGGCTGATGTCAGCAGGTGCTATAAAGGAGAGCGGGGACACTCAGGACGGGAGACACTCAGAGACATTTTGTCCCCCTGCAGAGAAGAGAAGAGTAGAGCTCCTCCTTGTACTTTTCAGCACCATGGTGAGCGCTCGGACCCTCCTCCTCACCKTCACCTGCTGCTGCGCCTTCCTGCAGGGCGCGCGCACTGAGGACTCCTCTCTGGAGACGCGCTCCGTGGACTTCTCCCTGAAGACCCAGCAGGAGAAAGACCTGGTGAGTCATCTGTGGAGAGGAGTGATGATGGGAGAAACTTTCATCTTTTTATTTTTGTTCATTAGAAAATCGGAATTTATGTGGAAATAAACATTAAAAATAAGGTTATAGACACAGATCATTTGCTGAAAAAAATCAGTACGTTTTTGTTGGCTCTTGGTTTCTTAAAAGAGGAACAAAGATTTAAACCAATATTTTCTTTTCTGAGCAGATCGATGCTCTGCAGGAAGTTTTGGAGAAGCTAAGAAACAAAGAAATGCCCTCAGAGAAGAAGCTTGGCTGGCTGCCTTCTGTAAGTCAATGATCAAAATAACTTTATGAGCAAGTCTGTTAGCAAAATATCTCATGAAACACTTGGACGGATTTTAATGAAACTTTCTGAAAATACTCACAGAATTACCTTTTTTAGAGCCAATCCAATTAAAAAGCATGGTCTTTATATGCTTATTGTTGTGTTTGCAGTGTGACGCAGGGGAGCCGTGCGCCATGCGTAAAGGCGCGCGGATCGGCACGCTGTGCAGCTGTCCTCGAGGGACGTCTTGTAACTTCTTTGTCCTAAAATGTTTATAAAATTGTGTATAAAAAAACAAACAAAAAGGGAATGATAAGACATGATGCAAAGTGATTTTCCCTCTATTTTCTAAACCTTAAATGTTGATCTATGTATAACTTTTTGTTTAAATGTTTATTGTTGTGTCAGAAGGATGCGAGAGACTTTTATTTGACAGATTTTTCCAGAATGTCGATGTGGAAAAGATGGCCTTGAAATGGTTCCTGAACTTATTTGTAAGATGAGAAATCAATAAATGAACTAATAAAGATCAGTGCACAATTTTAGTTTATCAACTAACAAAAGACAAAAGCGGAGGATGATGTTTTTGACTGTGCTCATGTGTCTGTCTGTTAGCATAACATTTCATGATGAACCATGATCTTAGCATAAAACCCTGACATAAAAGGTGTTGGCCGACGGGTGATATGCATTGATGTGTTTATTGTCTTTTATGAAGGGAAAAAATCACAATGGTCACTGAAATAACGTCCTGCTGACAAAAGTAATAATAAGAAATTAATTACTCCAAATCAGCTAATGGAACCTGATAATTTTGTATTTTAATTCAACAAATTCATTGAAAACTAATGAAACTTTGATCAAAACAGATAGATGTAGACTGAAATTATTTGGACCACAGACGAGTTAAACTAAGATGTGTAATCTACATCTGTGTTTACCAACAAAACAGTTCACAGGGCTGATTGGTATCATGGTTTGTAACACACCGAACCAGAATTGTGAGTTGTGAGATTAAGTATATATACAGCGGGTAAAATAAGTATTGAACACGTCAACATTTTTCTCAGTAAATATATTACTAGAGGTGCTAATG